TCTGAGGGAGAGTCAAGGGCCAGGTCACTCAGGGCCCACGTGGGCAAGCCCAGGACGTCTTTCTCAGATGACAAAGAACAGAGGGACAAGTATTAAGACAAATCCAATGTGGTGACTTAACCCGGCCATAGCAATAATTCCAAATACAGGGCAGGAGTTGTTAGAAAACGTTTTTTTAAAGCAAGAGCCAACTTTGTACACTGCCCATAATAAGCCACTTTAAATATAAAGTAAAGGATAGAAACCCAACAGGTTAAAAGTAAAGGATGGAAACAGATATATCACACTAACACGAATCAGAAGAAAGCTGGAGTGCTTGAATGAATGAGTCCTTTTCGATTGAATGTGCTAAAATGAGACAAAAATAATCACAGGGTAAATGCTGCTACTAGGAATAAAGAGAGACATTTCAAAATGGCAGATGGGGCCCTGGCCAGGTAGCTCAGTTGGTTAGAGTGTCGTCCTGATATGCCAAGGTTGCTAGTTCAATCCCCAGTCAGAGCACATACAAAAATCAACCAATGAATGCATAAATAAGTGGAACTATAAATCAATATTTCTTTGTTCCTCTCTCTAAAATGGTGTAACAATCCCTTATGTTTATTCATCTAATAACGGCCTCAAAATATATGGAGCAAATCCAGATCTAACTACAAGGAGAGAGACAAATGCTCAGTCATAATCCAAAAGTTCAGCGGTGATCTGTAGATCCTGTGGGTGGATAATCAGTAAGGATGTGGAGCAAGCATGTCAAATTCGAAGGCCAAATAAGGTTTAAGTGTACGTGGGCCACAAAAAAACAAAAGCTTCCATTCTCATAGAAATGTAGGTTTATTCCGATAGAGACATGCTGAATACAAAGGGCTGAAATGAGTCATTTATAAAATAAGAAAAATTTAACAAAAATTAATATTTTTCTTGAACATTAACTTACCAGACAGTGGATAGCTGCACAAATTAATAAGGGTAATGCAAATAAACCTTTTTTACCTGTTCTCTGAAAGCGAAATATGTCCTGTTGTGCTCACCAAACAAGTCAGTTCAAGACCAATGATGTGGCCATCAGCTGTTAAAATATTCGCTGCTGGTATTAATAGAAAGAAATGGTGCGCCTGCGCCGAAGGCACAGAAGGGAAATGAATGCAACATGATTATAGTCATCGGTCATGAGCAAATGTTCGTTATTAATTATAATGTTCGTTATTAATTATAACGGGGGAATAAGGACACATAGGTAACACCTTAATAAATTTTAAAAATAAAAAATATCCCCCCAAAAAGTAATTGTAACAGGATATTGTAAAAGTTAAGAAAATTCTAAATGTTTCTTCCATACCATTATATTGGCTAGGCTGCAAAAATATTCCTTGTGGGGCTGCATTCGGCCTGTGGGCCGAGCATTGGACATGCTTGCTGTAGAGGATTTGAACCGCACTTTCAACCAACGTGGCCTAATTGGCAATTCCTAGAACACTCCACCCAACGGCAGCAGGATGCTTCTTGGGGTGGGGGTCCCGTGGAGATGTATTCAAGTCACAGGACCAGGAGGCCCCCTGGGGAGGGAGCGCCGATGGAACACAGATGCCATCTGAAGGCTGACCATTGGGCCCCTCCCACCTGCAGGGGTTGGAAAGAGAGGATCCAGCAAAGGAGATGGAGAAGGAGCCGTGGAGATGAGGGCCACCAGGAGAATGTGGCCCAAAAGCCAGGTGAAGAAATGTCAGGGAGGGGGACAGGGTGTTCCTCCTGTCCAATAATCAGCAAGATGAGGACCAAAGGCTGCTCCTGGATCCGGCCAGGGGGAGGCGTGGTTGACCACAGGAGCACCTGCTCAGGAACTCGGGGCTGGGCTCAGAGCACCCCACGGTCTGTTCAAGGCTGGTGAGAGGCAGGCCCCACGCAGTCTCACTTTCAAGGAGCTTTGCTGACAAGGGCAGGAAGGCGTGGCGGGGTTTCCTCCTTTTCGTTTGGGAAGAAGGGATGCACTGGACACCGTTGGGAAGGTTTTAGGAGTGGGGAGAATATTTGGGAGCAGGAGGAGAATTTCAGAGGCGATGTCGGTTCATGAGAGGGGATGGGGTCCAGCGCTCTCAGGGCCGGCAGGGTGGCCTTGGCTGGGGACACAGTTCTTATGTAAGAGCAGGGGCCAGGGCGTTCAGAACTGTCAGGGGTTCAGCGAGCCTTTACTACTGGGCGGGCGCTGGGATGCAGGCTGAGCCACGGGCTGGCATTGCTCTGGACGAGTGACTCAGGTGACCTTGGGAAGGTGAGCCGGGACGCCTGGGCGATGGATAGGGAAGCTGACTAGGGAGCGCCCTCCTGCCCCGGGAGGGAGTGCCATTGTGCGCGTGCTCCTCGGCGCCACCAGAGGGCGCCAAGACGCCGCACCGTTCCGCTCGGGGTGGCTTCCCTTCCAGCCCTGCAGCCGTCATTCCAGCGGGTCTCAAAGCCTCCAGGGTCCCTTTTTGGTTCCAGCCTTACTTGGGGTTCAGGACTGGGAATCGAAAGAGAAAAGGGGCTGGGTCCTGGGAGAAGCACCCTGTAACCCTGTGCCCTATAAGGTGGGTGGAGCCCCGCGCTGGCAGCAGCTGGGAAGGTCAAAATCCAAAGTGTGCGCTGCGGAGGAGACCCTGCTGCCACCGCCAGCACCGCGTGCCCCGGGGAGAGCACAACCAACGCCACGGGATGGATGGATGGATGGATGATGGATGGGCCCAGCCCAATGTGGAACTTTGAGGGAGAGGAGGGGAGATCTATGGGGCAGATCCTGAAAAGTGCTGGGCCGGCGGGGCTTGTGTTGAGGTTGGAAGTGGAGGAGGGAGAGGGAAGGTGGAGGTGAGACTGAAGGATTGGGACTTGGAGAGCCACCAGCGCAGTACTTTAAAGAGTGGATGCAGCCGCCTCAGTGAAGACAGCTCACCTCAATTTTCCTATAAAATACAAGTGCCTTCCTAGCAGCCATCATTTCCTATCATCTTAGAACCAATCCCATCTCCAGCACTTCCGGCCCACTGCCAATTAAAGGATGATTCCAGCCCTGGCCGGTTTGACCCAGTGGATAGAGCATCAGCCTGTGGACTGAGGGTTCCCAGATTCAATTCCGGTCAAGGGCATGTACCTTGGTTGCTGACACATTCCCAGTGGGGAGGGGCGTGGTGGTGCAGGAGGCAGCTGAATGATGTTTCTCATTGATTTTCTGATTCTCTGTCCCACTCCCTTCCTCTCTGTAGAAAATCAATAATATATATATGTTTTTTTTTTTTTTTAAGATGATTCCACTAGGGATAAGAGACAGCTGACATACGCAATCCACTAAGCAGTGGGAGCGGCCAGTTTGGGCTGCAAATCCGGAGGCTGGGGCCTGTTGCCCTGGCGGGGGGCCAGGTTGCAGATGCTGGAGTGGCCTGGATGCTGGAGCAGCAGGCTCGGGGTCGGTGCTGACTCACCGTGCAGCCCTCGGGCAGCCTCTCCCTCTGCCAAGTTGCTGCTGGCTTTCTGGGTCTCAGATGGTGTGCAGCCAGTTCAGATTTCACTGACCTGTGCCTAAAAAATTTGCCTCTGTCGCTGTCCCTACCCCCAAGGACATGGGGTTGGGAGGAACTCAGCAGAGTGCCCCGCACTGAGAGCACTCTGCTGGCTGTGGGTGGGGTGATCATTCATTACCGTTGTGATCAGAGTGCAGACTCCTCGCAGCTGCTCTTATTGTTCCCGAAAGGCTATTTCTATCTATTACCCCAGGGTGGACTGCAGGGCAGGAGGGCAGGACATTAATCTCTCCCTCCATTAGCTCCTTAAAGTCAAGAATCTGTTTAGTCTTCATGTTCCAGCAGCCGCTGGGGCTGGGCACCTGATGATTGAGCAGGGATAATTTTATGTCTTGGAGTTTTCCAAAGATGATTTGGGGAAATCAAATCATCCCACCATCCTTCCACCAATCAGGACTCAGCTCTCTGACTCTGCACTTTGCTGTAAAAATAACGCCTTGGCTTCCCTTCCTTCACGCAATTTAATAAGCAAGGTATAAATTTGAACTATCAAAGGCCAATTTAAAGAAACTGTCATCTCTAAACCAAGAATGCAGGCCACCTAGATTCTGGCCCTGATGCCATTTCAGTGTAAGGAAGGAGGTCCAAGTAGATGGGAGCCGGGGACCCTTAGCCCAAAGCCCTCTCAGCCCCTCCTTATGTGGAGCCAGATGCTGAGGCCCTGGGGTGACAGTACCAGCCCCCGCTGCGAGTGGAACATCACTAATCCAGGTGGATACTGTCACATAGGGTCTCCCTCTTGGTCTTCACAGCATCCTGGGGGGAATTATTTTGTCATTAGCAGCCCAGAACCCACAGCTTAGCTTTACCCCGCCGCTCAGGTGTCATCTCTCAGCTTCACCTAACATTGCCTCTGCAGCTGCAACATTCAAGCTCTCTCCTCTTGTAAAGGCTATTTTCTTTGCTGGGAGTGCCCCTCCCAACCTCCCCCTTTCCACCCTAGCCACCTGACTGGTGTCCGGACACGCACCTCATCGCCTCCACCACCTCTTATAAATGTCCTCCCAAATATATCTAGTTATACATATGTCATGACTACGTATGTTAGCTCTTAACATATCGTAGTCATTCATTTGTTCAATGAGAGAGCACTGGCTAAGTGCTATGTCGGGCACAAGCTCAGTGCTCAAAAAACGTTAGCTCTCATCATTCACAACATTCCTTCGTTCATTTGATATTTGTGGAGCGTCTGGGCTCTACGCTGTTCGTAGCAGCCACAGCAGTAAACAAGGAAAATGATAGCTCACGCCTGTCCTACACGGACCCCTGCGCTAAGTCCCCATTCTTAAGGGCTGGAGGTGCGGAACTCTGGGTCCCGCCCAATGCTGAGACTACAAGTCCCAGAAGTCTGCGCGTCCTCGCCGGGGGCCTGCCAGTGCGCATGCGCTACGTCGTGACGCCAGGGCCGCGAGCGGGCGCCAGTGGCTGCGGCGGGCGAGGCGGGGCCGGCGGGCGGTGGCCTTTAGGGCGGAGCCGCTGCTTTGCTGGTCTCAGTCGGCCGCGGGTTAGCGGCGGGCGGCGTCCGGTACCCGTCCCTCTGGTCCGCCAGCTCTCGCTGGAGTTCGACCGCTTTCTCTGCACTGCCCGCGGGTCCCGAGCGCGGCGTCATGTCGGATCCCGGGGGCGGCGGCGAGGACGGCTCGGCCGGCCTGGAGGTGTCGGCCGTGCAGAACGTGGCCGACGTGTCGATGCTGCAGAAGCACCTGCGCAAGCTGGTGCCGCTGCTGCTGGAGGACGGCGGCGAGGCGCCGGCCGCGCTGGAGGCGGCGCTGGAGGAGAAGAGCGCCCTGGAGCAGATGCGCAAGTTCCTCTCGGACCCGCAGGTCCACACGGTGCTGGTGGAGCGCTCCACGCTCAAAGGTGCGGCCCGGCCGGCGGCCGCGGCGCCCGGCTGTCCCTTCCGGGTGGCGGCGGGAGGAGGGCGTCCCCGCCTCGCCGTCCTCCCCCAACAATGGCATCGCTTTGTCTGCCGGCCTCAAGATGGCCGAGTTGGGTGGGGACAGCGTCTCCCGGCTGAGCGCGGCGGGCGGAGGCCGCATCCCGGCCTCCAATGTCACATGAGCTTGTCGGTTTCGATTTGGGTCCAGGCGCCTGGATCTGGGGGAGGGGGGGCGCGGGCAGCCGGGTTCTGGCCCTTTTCGCTGTTGCGGGCGGTCGGAGCTGGGGGAGCGGCGGCCGGCGGGCATCCCCGGCGGGGCCTGGTGCGGACCCGGGCGCCGGGCCTCCCGGAGTGACCGGGCTGCGAGCCCCTCGGGGCGGATGCGAGCCGGCAGCCCCGCCTCTGGGACCTCACAGTGTGCATGCCGAGCGGCGCTCTCCCCATTTCACACGCGAGGAGACTGAGGCTCCGGGGAAGTGGGCCAAGGTCACCAGCCAGTCCTGTCCTCAGACGCAACGGCTGGGTGTCCAGCCCACGCTAATCAGACCTTGTAATTTGTGTAATGCCCACAGGATCCCATTGGCGACCCAGGGATAGTTGTGTCTGTTTGACAGGTTTTAAAGGAGAAAGAGGCGGTTTAGGCAGCGAGTGGGGAGAGGAGGCCCATGGTGACCTTCCAGCAGCCAGGCTTGATTTGTCTTTGAGAGTAGAGCTTGCCTTCAGTGAGGGTGTCCCTTGATTCATAATTGTCCTCATCCCCCCCCATTCCCATCCCAAACCCCTCCCCACGCATGCCCCGTCCCCCCCTGTTGTCCCGTTGATTCTCGAAGACCACTTGGTAGAGGACCGGGAGGCACCGCGCGGATGGGTGTGGCCCCGTCCATCTGGGGACCCAGGGATGATGTGCGGGTACCTTTGAGCGTTGGTACCAAAGAATTGTGCTTTGTCAGAAAGGCTTCCCCAGCAAGCTTCTTACCATCTCAAAAGGCTGCGTGGTCTGTTAATAAGAGAACCCATGCGATTGGCCTCGCCCATTTGTTTCTTTGTGATAATTTGTTTCCTTCAAAGACTAGTGTTTTCAGGAGATGCTTCATTGTGGCCTCTGCTTCTGCAGGAGGGTTGAGGGTCAGTGTGTGAAAGAATAATGTTCTTAGATCCACAGGGAATGCTAAAGCAAAGAAGCCACACAGGCATATTTAGGTTATTAATGTTTAGGCCCTTAGGGTTTTCTGTTATGATTGAGTTTATGTTTTACCGAATGGAAATGCACTAGTGTTTTTTTTAATATATTTTCATTGATTTCAGACAGGAGGGAGAGAGAGAGAGAAAGAAACATCAGTGATGAGAGAGAATCATCCATAGGCTGCATCCTGCCCAACCCCCACTGAGGATCCATCCCACAACCTGGGCATGTGCCCTGAAGGGTAATTGAACTGTAATCTCCTGCTTCATAGGAGGGGGCTCAACCATCGAGCCACGCTGGCTGGGCCCCACTAGTGTTTTTTTGTTGATTTGCTTTTTGGCTTTTTTATTTATTCACTTAAGATTCCACTTATGCCGAAGCCAGTTTGGCTCAGTGGTAGAGCGTCGGTCTGCAGACTGAAAGGTCCCAGGTTCAATTCCGGTCAAGGGCATGTACATTGGTTGCGGGCACATCCCGGGTAGGGGGTGTGCAAGAGGCAGCTAGCTGATGTTTCTCTCTCATCAATGTTTCTAGCTCTCTATCTCTCTTTCCCTTCCTCTCTGTAAAAAATCAATAAAATATATTTAAAAAAAAAAGATTCCACTTATATGTGAGATTATATGGTATTTGTCTTCCCCACTAGTGTTTTTCAAAAAATATATTTTACTGATTTTTTTTAATAGGAAGGGAGAGGGAGAGAGAGAAACATGGATGAGAGAGAAACATCAATCAGCTGCCTCCTGCACATCCCCTACGGGGGATGTGTCCCCAACCAAGGTACATGCCCTTGACCGGGATTGAACCTGGGACCCTTGAGTTGGCAGGCTGACGCTGTATCCACTGAGCCAAACTAGCTAGGGCCCCCCTAGTGTTCTTTAATAAAATACATTTAACTAATATACTCTTTTTTTTTTTTTTTAAGTATACTCTTAAAAAAAAAGAAAAAAAGACTTGCTAGAAAAATGTAAAGATAAAGTTAGAATCACCTTCTGTAACCACTGTCAGCATTTTTGGTGTTGGTTCTGGTCTTTTTCCATTGAATGCACATTATTTTATTAAAATATTTTTTAAAAATATATTTTATTGATTTTGTGCAGAGAGGAAGGGAGAGAGAGAGTTAGAAACATCGATGAGAGATGTTTGACCGTAATCGATTGACCGTAATCGAACCCGAGACCCTTTAGTCCCCAAACCGACGCTCTATCCATTGAGCCAAACTGGTTTCAGCATAAAATATTTTAATCTTTGTTGTTTAAGTTATTGTATTTTAAGTTGTTTGGCCTGGCTAATGCTTGATAATATTTTCATTGAACAGTTGATTAATTGAGATCAGTGATTTCCATGTTGAGTCTTTTATTTCTTTTTTTGTTTGTTATTTTTAATTGTGTTGTTCTTTGCTTCTAGAATGCTCACAAGTACTTCACTTTCCTCAAACATCTTAGGATTGGACTTTGCTAATTATTAGGTGGAACCTTAGTCCTCTAGTATGTGTTCTAGTTTGTGCAGATCTTGATGGGCACATTTTCTTTCAGCGAAGCGAATATCTAAGCATCCAAATCTGGGCTCCATAATGACTTGCACTTTTGAGCATTGACGAAAGAATGAGACAGTCTAAAATTGAAATCCTACCTCATTCCTTGTTTATAAAAATCCCTGAAGTCCTGGCTGGAGTGGCTCCATTGGTTGGAGCATCACTCCATCCACCGAAAGGTGGGTGATTCCCAGTCAGGGCACATTCCCAAGTTGCCAGTTTGATCCCCAATCAGGACACATACAGAAGGCAATCAATCAGTGTTTTCTTTTTTCTTTTCTTTTTTTTTAAATATATTTTATTGATTTTTTTTACAAAGAGGAAGGGAGAGGGATAGAGAACTAGAAACGTCGATGAGAGAGAAATATCGATCAGCTGCCTCCCGCACACCCCCTACTGGGGATGTGCCCGAAGCCAAGGTACATGCCCTTGACCGAAATCGAACCTGGGACCTTTCAGTCCGCAGACTATGCTCTACCACTGAGCCAAACCGGTTTGGGCAAATCAGTGTTTTCTTTCCTCTCCCTCTCCCTCCCCACCTTCTCTCTCTTTCTCTCTCTCATCTCTCTCATCTCTCCCCCTCCCCTCCTGCTCCCTTTCTCCTTCTTCCCCTCCCCCCCACTTTTCTCCTTCCCTCTCTGCCTTCCCCTCTGTCTAAAATCAATAAGCATATTCTCTAGTGAGGGTTAAAAAAAATCCCTGAAGTATTTAAAGTAATTCAGCCTGCCTGTGATTTATTTTCCACTTACAAAAGGTCTGAGGAAAAACTATGTGGTGCCATTAGTCTTGTTAGCCATTGGCCATTTTCTCCACTAGCCTACTTGAGATAGACGTATTGGAGATACACCTGTTGGGGATGTGCCCGCAACCAAGGTACATGCCCTTGACCGGAATCGAACCCGGGGCCTCTCAGTCTGCAGGCTGACGCGCTCTCCACTGAGCCAAACCGGTTTCAGCCTCTATATTTTTTTTAACTAACCCAGCCATATCTATTACCTATCTATCATTATCTATCTATCTATCTATCTATCTATCTACGTATGTATCTTTATTGTTGAAAATATTTTTGTTGCTGTTAAGGTAGCATTCCTTAAAATGTAAAATAAAGGCTGAATTAAACAGTTTATTTTGATAGTGAAGAACTAGAATTTGTGGGATAGGGACAGTTAAATTGTCCCACATTTTAAAAAGAGAAATCTCGCTGAAACCAGTTCGGCTCAGTGGATAGAGAACTGAAAGGTCCCAGGTTTGATTTTGGTCAAGGGCATGTACCTTGGTTGCGGGCACATCCCCAGTAGGGGGTGTGCAAGAGGCAGCTGATCGATGATTCTCTCTCATCGATGTTTCTTTTTCTTTTTTTTCTTTTTTTTTTCTCTCTCATCGATGTTTCTAACTTTCTATCCCTCTCCCTTCCTCTCTGTAAAAAAAATCAATACAATATTTTTTTTTTTTTTAAAGAGAGAAATCTCCTTTCTGTAGTCTCTGACATGTAGAACCTTGTTTTCTTTCTTCCTTTTTTAACGTTGTTTTCTTCATAGTGTGCTTCTGACATTAGGGCCAGGGGGAGCTCATTGCCGAACAGTCGTTCTTGTGTGAGTGGTGTTTGTAGCAGTTTTACTCGGGTGCCTTTGGGCTGTGCCCTGTCCCCCTGAGAGGCTGGGTGCTGAGGAGGAAAAGGCAGCGGGCGCCCCCGTTCGCAGTGGTGGAGCTGGGGCCCGGGACCTGTGTGCTGCTCCAGCGTGTTAGCGACCAGGCCGGGATCAGGTGCTGTGTGTGTTGTGTTTAAGGTCTAAAACGTTAACCTAGAACTTGAAGAATTTGTTTTTGGTCTTTGCTTAGCTTCCCCCCACCTCCACCAAATGGCTAATAAAATAGTTAATAAGTTAACAGGAAGAATTTCCTATGGCACCAAGCTGTATTGGCACACAGGCCAGGAGTCCACCCACCTGGGCCCTTATAGATCTGTGATGCGGTAGGCGGGGCCTGCACCTGTCACAGGGCAAACCCTGCAGAAGACGGTTTGAATGCAGGGTAGCAGAGTAATAACGAACAGCAAAGGGAAATGGCCAGCACTTCTTTTTAAACAGTCAGGATGGAGGCAAGTTCTGTTTATCAGCAGAACTTGGTAAGTTGGTCCCGCCTCCTCTGTCTTCACTGAGAAACTGAAATCCAGGGTTTGAAGATCCAGTTGAGGAAAAGATGTTTTAAGAATTCAGTTCCAACCCACGGTGGCTCAGTGGTTGAGCATTGACCCATGAACCAGGAGG